TTCGTCGCTCTCAGAGTAGAATGAAGAAACAATTCTGGATAATTCTGTTTCTGAGAAGGTTATTGAATGGAGCTTTCAGTTATGAGTTCGTAAATATTGCATTCGATGTTGAGAAGAGTTTAACGTGTGAAGGGCAGAAAGTATCCATGGTAGTTATCTCGTAAGACCTCAGTAACCAGTTGCTGCCCTATCTGTACATCTATTCTATTCACGCTCGCATTGCCGTAAGGAAGGTATAGAGCACCTACATGGCTACATTTCCTCGAGGAGTCATATTTCGAAAGTACGCTTCGACAGAGATTGTGGAACCACGTGCGAAGCACATGAAACCTTGACTGCCACACCAATTCGATCCCTTACAATCCGTACATACAATGTATCGAGATACCTTGATAACGAATGACTCACTAATGGCCGAAATTTGTTTGATGAGCATTTATCGTCTCATTTCTCCACCCGTATGTAGACGTTCACTGAGACAGCAACCCATTTTTCTTTTTCTAACACTGTGATGTTTCATCATTGCGCAGCGTAATGAAACTAAACAACACTTATTTAAATAATGGAGAACTGACTATCTCCTATCCATGTGTTCATTTGAATTATTAATCAAGACAATGCCGTGATGTTCAAAGGTGGAGTTGATGGCGACCTGTATGGACCGAATGGAGAGAAGCAGGACTACATGTCCAATTTGGGCTCATTTTTCAATAGAATCTGTAATCTGAGAGAATCTGTAATGGATTCCCATGTCTTTTCCTTTCTTTTTTTGTTTCTGAGTTCGTTAGTTTCCTTCGCTCTTCGCTTCTTTTCACTTCACAAACAACGAAACATGTGCCCCATTGAAAAGATGGCTTTTACAGAAGGGAACTAGACCACCACCTCCTCCACGCTGCCCCGAAGTGACTCTGAACAGGGATCGGCGACATCCAGGTCTTATAGGACGGTAGGTCTTTATATTTATCACAATACACGAGACAATCTTTGACCGTTAGCATTATAAGTGGCTGACCAGAGCCATAGACAAACAATTATAAAAAGAGGATCGTTTCGCATGGACGGTATGGGAGGTTCTCTTCAACTTATAGCGTTGAACCAGCTTTTCTAGGATGTCCTTGCGGTTTTAAACATCTCAGAACCTAGAAAGGCTTAACTACATGTCGTAAAGAAAATAGCCATAGGTTCACTTGTGCGCAAAGCAAAGCCACCTGAATCGCTCCTAAACGATTTCTTTGACTTGTCGTCTTTTCTGAAATGGTGGGGGCCTCGAGTTTGTCGAATATCTGGGACCGTGCTGAGTTTGGAGTAAAATCAAAAACTGGAGTGCAGACATGTTGGAGCCACAGGAAGGTGTCAGAATGGTCCTAAGGACAAGGAAGACAGTTTGGCAAACATCTCGACTTGCCGTGTCTTCTGTTCTGGTTAGAAGACGATGAATCCTGTCATAGCTAGCAAGTGTGCCGGCTGCAGCAGCCTAGTTTCAATGCTACGCTCGGCCATCCTCAGTCATATCCACCATGCTCCTATCTTTGAACTACTGAGGAACATCGCTCACATCTTCCATACGTCCTCCAAAGAGTAGAACGCCACCGGAACGAGAATTTCAAAAAACACTATGAGCGCGGTCACCAATGTGTTATTGTGTAAGTGCATTGAAAGGGAACCTCGGGAGATGCTGAACCAATTCAGATTGTGAATAGAGAAAGCCACATACCTTGAAGTTGTTCCAACCAAAAATTTTATCCCCTGCGAAAATATTTATATTTCAAGCATTCAACTGCCAAGAAACGTTCCGGCCGAGCAGTTGTCGCAGGCGATAGCATGGGAGATAAAGGTGCAGACTTTTGTCAATATGAAAAAAAAGTAGGCCGACGCTATCAATCTTTGTCGTCATGAATTTTCAGCAGATTTATTATACACTTATCCTTAAGGGAATCGTGGAGGCGGAGCCAATGTCTACATCTCCTGTCTACGCGGCTAATAGACGTTTGTCATTTTTCATAGCCGAAATGGGTAACATAAAAGTTGTCTACAAAGTGACATTATTCATGCTTCTTCCTAATGCTCATGTTTATTACACTTTTTTTGAAAAGAACATTTTGGGAACAGTTGTTTCGCATAATGACATTTGGAGATTGTACTTTTTAGTTGAGATCCTTTCGATGAGCAAGTCTTTGGCATGTTCACACACTTGCTAGCACATCCACTTGTTCCGCTCCAAGCCGCGTTTCCTGTTCCTTCTGTTGCATGCTCTGTATAGTCTTTAAGGCACAGCTTACGATAATGCTGAGGTAACTAGCTTGAGTGAAATAATGCCCGCTATGGTAGAATAGTGCAAAATGGAGTGAAGGCGCAAAAATCAACGTTTAAAAAAATTATAAGGCTGCAAAATAGTAGTAACAAAGATGGTTATACGGGATTATGTGTGTGTAACTCTTTGGGCGTCTCCCACATCAGCATCTCGTCGGTGTCTTTTTGTGTGAATGGTACAGCCTTAAGAAGGTCGCCATAACACGGCCACTCATGGATGTGTACGTCGGCCGAGGCCAATTTGGAGCCCTCGTAGCTCCCTATTGAGATCGCTTCCCTACCTGGCAATGTAGTGCGTGATATCCTTGGTAGCTACAGATACATTCTATGAAGAAATCTCAAAACCCATTTTTATCGTTAATTGTGCCTTTAATGTCAGTTCATAAGTTGGACGGCCCTCACATGACAATGGTAGCAGGCTGACCCTTTTCGCAATCAATTTGGACCACAAACATGATAGATCCTTGTAATTCATTTAATACTCATCTTGAAAATAAAAAACAAGTTTGAATCAATCCGATAATGCCTACAAATCTCTCTGTTTATCACGGTAAACTTCGTTCTTCCAGTCGAAAATCTCCACATAAACGACAACAGAGAATGGCAAAATACGAAGATGATACAACAAAGTTCCAAGCTCTAATGGGCGTGTTTGTCATACATAGTTCGAATATCTGCTAACAGTTGTGATCTACTACCGAATCAACACAATAAACAATTGATAGTCCTTAAAAACGAGCCGTACCTTTTAATACCGTCAGTACAATACTTGCGAGTCTACATTCTTTTCTCAGACATCGATAAAATGCTGAACTTAGTGTTTTTACTTGCATATAGCTGACTTCTTAGAATTGAGATAAATTTATATGGAGGCGTAACATACCAACTGAAAAGAAATTAAATGCGAAGTCACCGAAATTCATGAAATAGACCGATCCTCGGAAAATGAGAAAATCTCCATATAATGCAGCGCTAAGTTCCAAGATGCCCTTGTCGATCGAAAACCAGCCATAAATTAGGCTAAGCAAAAAGGAGTGAAATGCAGGTTGAACAAGGCCCAATTTAAGGTGCAGCTTTAGGTAATAACCTACTTCACCCACGTCAAAGTGATATGTCGTTGCTTATGTCAATGCCTTCTGAGCAGAAGTTACTTGTTTGTTGCTCTACGGAAGGTCTTATTGCCAATCATATAATGAATACATCGAGTAGCATTTTTCATAGTTCTTGGTGAAGCAGTTAAATAAGTAGAAACGATTATAAATTAGGCAACAAAAAATAACAACCACCTCGCTGCGAGAAATGATTTCACAGAGAGATGGCAGCAGAGATTCTGCCAGTTGAATGAATGCTTGAATCTGGCATGAGAAATCACTTGAAACGTACTGTTATCGAGTTACCTCGTCTTATAAAAAAAGTTTATTCAGCAAATATTCTGTATAGTTCATTAAAACATTAACAAAAACAATTGACTCTTTTAGAATGGTACACGTCACAATATTGAGCCTAATGTTGCAGCCAGACCTCAAACGTCAATCGCTCATGATTTTACAATTTTAAACGGATACAATATGATCACAGCTACCCTTCACCCAATTTCTGTTAGACATAGGAACATATTAAACTGATTCGCTTTCTTTGATCAACTACGTCTGAATATAGAATGCAATGACAAAGAGGCTCGTAGAGCAGCTGTGCTCTCGGAAAAGAAGAAAGGATGGACTCAGTAATGCTAGCTTCATGGAATAGGTCCCTTTCCACTTGTGGTTTGGTGGGTATCACGAGAATTTCAATCGAAAGCAAATGATAGGAATGCCGATGAAAGGCGCTGGGGGTTTCTTCACTTAGTCTACCTCGAACTCAGACTGTAGCTTTTTCTTATGATGGATGTGCTGGTCATGATAAAGATGAACGTTATATTATTGCTTAATATTATCAAAAGCATTAGTAGTGGGGCAAAGTCCAGTGGGAAAACTCAAATGTTCAACTTTTCCTGACGTCCCTTTAGCGACAGCTAGTGATAAGAAGTGTAGGGGTCGATTATGAATTCAACTGCTACATATAAGTAGTCTATTTCAATAAGGTTCAAAGCGTGATATGCGCTGTAATGTACCGCCAGTCCACCTCATGAGACAAAATATATCTTTGTAGTACTCAACATTGTCGAAAGAGAGCAGCTGTAGAATCAAAAACCACATCCCAATATTGATATTAATTGTGGTATGAACTCCTCTCAAACAAAAATATTAAATAAAAGCAGTAGTGGTAAAGAAGAGTAGATAGTTAAAGCGGCAACACTGATCGGAGGATGAGGGGTAACCAAACCATCTTCAATATTTGTTCGTTTGCCGACTTCTTTGAAGATGTTTCCAAGAGCTCCGACGAAGTCTCCTTAAAAGTTTAAAATGATTACACGAGAGCACGTGAGAGCGCCACATTTTTTGGGTGTTAGCATCTATCCAGTCCTGAATGCAACTTCCTAGCTCCTCAACCTTCTTTGTCAAAGTCCCTTTGTAGCAAAAATTGTCATCGTCTCGGTCGCTATTTAAGATCAAATGACAGAACCTTCTCACGTCCTCTAGGTGAAAACACGAGGGGTCTAATCAGGCTTTAAAACAAAATTTTCCTGCTTTGGATCCCTTTTGTTGACCTCTTTTCACTGGACTCGTCATTTTTGCCTTGCTCAAAATTAACTATTCACGTCAGGCAACAATCGCATGAACCGTTGTTGTCATTGCGACGAATGAGAACAAATTCGATTTTGACATTTGCCAAGAACAGGCTATAACCTCATTAAGGTCGAATTGTATAAGTAAACCCGTTCTCATCGATATCAAGTTTGCTGTTGTATTCGATCACTTCATTGCATAACTGGGCGTGTAGTCGAAGCAACTCTAAGTAAGTGAGAAGTACCAGAAACATAGTTCAGTGGAGCCACTGCCTTCTAATCAAAGTATGTGTGTTTTACGAACAGGTTCACAACCTCCCACTATGTAGTATGGCCCACCGTATATTTTTGGAAAGACGGAAACGTTGTTAGCGACCGTCAGTAAACTTCCACGGTAACTCATTAGCAGTGAGCCTGAGCAATATCGGTGCAGGCACTGCAACCATTCTGAGCCTTGTCGACATCTCCTGCGACGAGGGCGAGCGATCGCCATTGAAACTACCGGCAGCGTACCAAATGGAGACAACATTAATTCTACCTACTTCAGACAATCATGCTGTGAACACTCACCAAAGTGTTGATAGTTATTAGTATTATATAACTATCAACACTTTGGTTTCATGAGTAATGCCAAACTTTTTCAAGATAGAAATTTATGGAACTCTCTGTCTTATGTCGAAAACAGTTCAGCAAATTCTTTTGCTTTTTTTTTGGTTCATTATTCCGTCAGCCCCTGGAGGTTGTACGGCGGGCTATACCGGCTTCAACAAAACAGATTTAACTTCCTAGCCGATCGCCGAGCCTGATGTTCAAGAGATACACATTCTAGTGCAGACCAACATCTTACGAATAGTAAGCGACATGACTTATAAGTAATCACAGATTCTTATGGGAAGATGTTCAGCAGAAAAACGCATTACTTATGTATCCTAGGAATCAGAACCATTCCGATATGACGCAGTAGCAAAGCGCATTATTCAAAGAATCATCAAAAGCTGGAAAAAACAAAAAGAACCTGTTTGAAGTTGCCTTTCGTTGGTGTCGATGATTGATTGCACTTCATCAGCATCTGAATGAGTATCGTATCAGATACCATCCCATTTTTTCAGGTGAGTAAGCAGGAAGAGAAAGAGGGGCAAAACTAGTGTATCCAAACAAGTTTGATACAAATTCGCCGGGACAGAAATATTGTTAAAGCAATCTTACAAAAAAGATGACCGTACTGCGCTTCCTTCATAAGGGAACATCCACAGATCACGAGAGAGGCTAAAAGTTTTCCAAGCTAGGGAAAAGCCCATCACTTATTTCCGGCTTGTTGCCATATTTCATGACGGGCAAGAGTAGTGCTGTCATGCTCAAGAACGAAAATGCCCGAAAATGAAACGAGATTGTCTAATACTGCGAACCCTACAGCTTGGGGGGGGGGGGGGGGGGGGGGCATTCATGATATACGATGAATATGGAAGCGATCTTTCCAGCTTGTCGTGCAATAGTTCACCTTCGCTAAACGGCTATCACACCGAAATGGGTATCAAAAAAAGTAGAGGTATACTAGCAAAGAATGTGTGTAGGTAAAGTGTACTAACTGAAGGCGGCGTTAGGTTGAATCGCAAAATATAAATGACGGTCATCGGAGCTCAGTAAGAATATGATGCCTTTCTTGCACTGATCGTCCATATGCCACAATCGACTCAAATCGTTCACGAGTTGTTGTGATCCCTGAATTTTTGCTATAACAAGATGAAGCGCTTCGGAAAATGTCTTTGGATCTGCATATAAGTGATTCATAAGTGATTCGAGAAAGTGTATAGTAAAACCACATTAGACTGAATTCATTGTGTGCGAGTATCCAATTTGAAAGAATACTCGCTAGAGATTTCTAATGAAGATGACGTTGATATAATTACATATAAGCCACAGCCAAGGCTTGGCATGCCCTCGACGAAATATAACTAGCATAGGTAAGATTACCAAAAAGCAATAGTGGTTCACCTGACCTGTCTAACTATAGCTAGTATGGCATCAGTTCCTTTTCGATCACAGAAAGCACCGCCAGCTCTTTCAGTTCTCACAGAGATTCGTTGAAGATCGTTGTTGAGGCGATATCGCGATTCCATGCTAAGAACCTACAATACGGTGACATCAGGCTATGAAAATGTTTCCGTTAATTGTAAACAAACAAGGTTTCTCTAGCGGACACTATTTCACGATAGAATAAAAATATTCCTTCACCTTTATGAGATGTTCCTAATCTGTGGTGAAATTTGTTTCCGACAAAATGATTAAAAGAGGATGTGAAAATCTTTGTTCACGCAGGAATATCACTTCTGCGCGCCGTAATTTTGTTTCACAGTGTTAGGACGTGACCTTTCAAACGATATAAGACTTAGGCTGAAGAAACTATTTTTTTCTCGAAGAGCACAGAACCGCATCCATGAAAAATGATTAAGATGATTGTGTAGCAAACGCAAGGTTGGGATCTTTCGGCGCTTGGCTCGTGTTAGCCTTCTGCTCCCTACTGGGAGGCGATAACTTACAATTAGATAAAGCAGATGATCGATATATGGAAACGAGGTTCCGTGCATCGTGTACGCTGGGAACGCGCAGTATGGGTTTCCAAAGCTATGAAATTAGGGAAAAAAGTGCCACTGTCCCTCGCCTACCTTAGTAGCCTTAGCAGTTTTGAGGGCCGAGGTTCTAACAAATACAAGTTTTTTTTCCGTTTGTCCTTGTCCACTGCTACAAAGAAGGGGTTGCATATAGATGGAACTAAGACTGTAGCCAACTAGAAGACCTTCACTCCCTTGCTTTCGCTCTATTCTCTTACCTCCGTGTACTATCAAGAGGCTTAGACATTCAGGTCCTCGCTACGGTGGAATGATCTCGTTCCGGAATTAGGTAAACAGCATCGTCAAAGCTTAGATAGAAATCCTGTTCGTATTCTGAAAACTGGCTTGTCATGCGTACACAAATATTATTCTCCAGTACTCCTCTTTCGTGTCTATCCTGACAACTATGATTCCACCAGGGGTGTGGTGCGTTAGGAACGAAATGGTCGCGTCGCCGGTGAGCGGGGCGTCGCGCGCGAAGGAATGTAACAGGATACAGCAGTAAGTAAGAAATTCAAGAACAAAAGTACTAGTAGTAAAAGTATGCATAAAATAATGATCGCATATCGACTGAGCTGTATGAAGAACGCTAGAGCTGTAATAACGTCGAGTGAATTGCCCGCGATAGCCGCGTGCGGCGAATCGATTAGCCAAAATCGTTTCTAACGCCCGTCTCCCATTCCACCAGTGATCCTGTTGTTTAAGAAATCCAAGTTCTTGAAAAAATCCGTCGCGGCTAGAGTTAAGCCATTTCGTTTTCTTTCTCAACCATTGAAGGAGAGCTAAACAAATAACCCAGCTTCCTTAGCCTTGCCTCTTTCAAGGTGTTTCGTTGAGGCGTAAGACCTGGATATATGTATACCCGTTTCATAAGATCAACAACCTCTAGGGACTTCCCAGTGAGTGACCTATTTTCAGGGTTCCTCTCTACTAATTTCTTCGGCCGATTTCGTTCACTCCTTGGTAAATCTTGCATACTGACGACACAACTCGGGCAAGGGTTCTGCGTGACACCTTCGGATAACGTCATTGTAATAACACAGATTCCTATGCGTCTCTGAGATATGTTTGTTGTGACAAGGCATCTCCGTCAGCTGGCCTTTCAACCTGGGCTTGACGCTGGTATCGTCAACATTTCTGCAGGGTGTAGTTCTGCCTCGTTATGAATCGAACTCGCGGCCTTTTCCTAGCGCACACACGAGTCTACACTCCTAACCGATCACTTATCCCTATCTCTGATTTTCACTACAATATTGTTGGAAGAAAACATCATATATCATAAAAAGAGGGTCAAAAAAGAAGAGAGTCATTACAAAAATTTTTCGGACAGTTGAGGATATGAGACTGCTGTACATTATTTGTGTAGGAGGTTTGGGATGGGAAGCAATGAAGAAGCTCTGAAGCATGGAAGCCGTATGTTTCTAATGAAAATATCAATGCACGTTTGAATTCTCTAGAAAGAATACCAGTTTTCACTTTCCTAATAATCCACTTTAACATCATGCCTTATTCTTATTCTTTCATGTTACATTGAAATTAAAGGGGGGCAATAAACAGACCTCGTCTGGATCACAAACGCTGCTCGCTGATTTCATGTTACACTGTTTGAATCCACCTTTCCTTGGATTCGGATACTTCGACGCGTCCCATTGTTGTGCCGCAGCCAGTGCTACCATCAAAAACAGAAGCAACCACATCCTAAAGAAAATGATCTGATTGCATAGTACGTGGGAATGAATCGAATGACAAGGTTGAAAAGATCAAAACTCTCAAAAAGCATTTTTACATGAGAGAGTAGCAGAAAAACCGAAAAGATCCTACAAGCTTGTTACATGTGTTCTGGACAGATTGAGTCATTTTCCTTTTGTTTATTTTTTTCTCTCATGTTGCCAGTGCTCTTGTGATTCTTAGATGATTCCCCTGAAGCACCCCGCTGTCTTCAGGTCCAAGAATAACTGGATGCTGATTCTTAGTCCATCTATTTGAGTTCAAGATTTTTTCCGTAGGAAGTGGGTAAGAGAACCGAATAGGTCTGGTCAACAAGTCTCAATAATTGGCTCTGCTATCCTGTTGCATCTGAAAATTTGCCAGACATGTACTGCCTGAGTGCCTGGGACCCCTTACAATGATGTCATCAAAATTATCAATACTGCAAGTCAATCGACAATTTGACAAAAAAGAAAACTTTTTAATTGGCCGCTATAGCAATTTTCCTTAGTACTGGAGATCGTGCTCAAGCTCCATGTTGATCTTCCAAAAAGCGACATGAGTGCTTCTACAAGGTAAGTGTAACGGCTCGAAAAGTTTCATGCGAAGTTGGTACCACGGGCATATCCAGCAACCAGCGCATGAGCTGTATTACCTTTGGAGACTGCAAAAACTGACGAAAGATCAGACACAGGCCTGCTCGACCCCAGAAAAGAGTAAAAGATCCTGTACATTGATTAATACATCGTGATACAGAATTCAAATGACAACTCAATTCGATTCATGTTGGTTGAAAGGACATGACGGGCACAAGTCGGATTCAGATCAACTAAAAACATGAGATCAGACGGGACGGTAATCAACTGGAGTTCGCTTCCATCTGAGTGTTTTTATGATTTTTCCAAGGAGTTTCTATTTATTTCAAGCATTCATGTTTACAACATAGATAACCTACTTAGATATTGAAACCTAAGCTCTATGTACTTGATGTTGAAATGATGGTTTTCAGAATATTAATATTAGCATGATGTGCCATCTCCGACTCTGCTTCAGAAAATCGTGCATGTCCCTATATTTTGCTTCATTTTGGTCGATTGATCATCTCTCCTCTGCTCTCCCTCAGTTCCACCTTCTGAATCCATGTGATGTTGAAAGTTTACTGAAGGAATGCTAGGTGGGGCTACAGATTTTCAATGTGAAACTCTCCTCCGCAATTGCATGAACATGCAGAATGGTGAAAGGGACATGGTTGGTGGACAACATGTGGTGTCCACAGCTGGGAAAGTCTGATTGAGCGCTGGAAAGCAGGATTCATGGGATTCCTGATGTCATTCGCATCAGCAGTAAGTTCTTATAAATACAGTGCCTTATGCACCGACATTGAGACGACGGACATTAAATGGAATTGGAGAAATACAGCATTTGCTAAGAACTGGTAACTGGCATTAGAATAAAGACGACGTGGTGATTCTGATCTATTTCTGCAAAGAAATGTCAAATTCAGTGGGCGAGATATCTTGTTGTTAGATGGAATAGAGATATAAGTGGAGGATGGCCCAAAGCGATCACTTTGAAAAAGAATGATAAGAAGTATAGAAGGCAACATTCACAGATTAAATTGTCCGCAAATGAAAATGTCACGTCATTTGCATTAGCAGTGAAAGTGGATTCTTGGTACTCAGGTGTGCCATGTGATAGATCTCGGATGAAAAATAGCGAAGTACATAACAAATTAATATGGCAAAGGTTGATAAAAAGCGCTAGAAGTGAAACTTCATAGGCCTGTTGCGGTGCTTAATACCTTAACAGAGCGTTCGCTCTGTCATGGTAAATCGGGAGTGTAATGAAGGCATGAGTGGTGAACGGCAGAAAATGATAGGGACTGTCAGGTGTTCACAGTGTATTTGCGCTGAAATTGGCACACCTCCCTTTGAAAAAGAAGGAACCGCGCAGGATAATGTTGTGCGGGTTGGACCACCTATGTGCACCGGAGATCGAAGTGGCTAATGGTAGAGGCTGGTAAAGGATGCATGAAAATGTATCGGCCCACGATATAAACAGCAACAAAATTTATTACACCAACAAGCTGCTTATTTATTGGGGAATACTCACAGAAATAAGGATGACTATCATTGACATTGAAGTTATCCCCACGCTCAATTTATTTGGAGCCTGAGCTATTGCTGTCTTCTTAGTACTGGTTGCTTCCGTGCCAAATTGGTATTTCAATGGTGGAACCTATATTTGCCTGACGTTCCAACGTCTACACAAACATTTCGAAATTTTAGGAGCGTCATCGCTACACTCCGCGCATGCCGATTCTTAACAAACTCAAACTTAGACCAACGAAAATCAAACATGGCTAGAACTCCATAATCGGGCTACTCACGTCAATTTTACAAGATGAGCACTCGCTCAAATTTGGAAACAATGGAGCGGTTGAGACTTTACGGTGGCGCAAACTTCGTGAATTGGTCCCGTGGCCACGCGTGCCATTTCTCACTATCATATCTCTGTAAGAGGTTTGTCGAACTTCAGACTCTTTTTGGAAATCATTTATCTTAGTTGCAGTTGTTAAGACCTGGGACAAGCGTGATGGGTAATTTTTTAGAAAATCCAGAAATGCTCTTAGATGTTTGTCAAGTCCAGACGAGATAATAGTTTTATAAAAAAAAATCGCTCGGTACAGAAGCATCGAATACTTATTCAAGTTACCATTCGTCGGCAATGTCACTGAGTACCACTGAAAGCATTCTTGACACATCACATCGGTTACACAGACAGGTCGATTTTGTAAGAGGCTGTACATGTGCTTCTCGTGGGGAGAAGCAACGGAAGGAAGCGATTGGGCCATTGAAGAACTAATACTTTCCACGGAAAAAAGCAAACGACTACACATACATCGTAGGCTTTGGAAGTATAGAGCACTGATTTTCATTCTGCCATTCTCTAATATGTACCAAATATTAAATGGAAACCCCTCCGTTTTTGGATAATCAGTGCCCGATAGTTGTAAGCACTGATTTGTACTTCGACTGGCATTCTATAGGTCACATCTCTATGACAACACAAAACACCTCTATGTATGACTTTGGCTGGATAGAAGTAGAATGCCGGGGTGCATCCCAAAACCCGAATTGGATAACGAGTGAAATCAAATGTGGGTAAGATTTATCTACATTCTAGCATATTGTGAGAAATCAGCTGTTTTCCCACCCTCACTTTCATAACTCAACAGCCCACATCTGACAAATACCAGATAATGCTTCGGGAAAGTGGAGTCAAAAATATGAACGAACTGCTTAGACCAGTTGTGATGTAATATGAATATCGGCATAAGCCCGATGATCAATGTAGTGGAAAGACAGGAAGATTGCGCGATGGAATGGAAATTTCGAATAGAGGAGATTACTCTTAACTTCAGTTGAATTCAAGCCCGATTTTATTTTTTATTCATTCTTTTGCAGACATTTTTCCGCCACAACTTATGGGATTGCTTAAATGATTCGCAAGTGGACAATGGGACACTTTTCCATGATGAGTCCTCCCACAAGCTACTTCGCCCATTTTGGGAGGAACTGTTCACGGTGAATAACGTTTGACTGGTGGCTAGAATGGAGCAAGCACAAGAAATGGGCTTCTTTTGGGTGGAATTGGAAGGGAAGCGATCGATGGTAGTCGAATGATGTCAACAAAGTCTCTTTCATCCAACTGTCGAAATAACTAAGGATCACGCAAGCATTTCCGTGTATTTCACTAAAAAGTGAATGCTATATCTGTATCAGAACAACTCAGATGATATCCGCTTCTACTTGAAGTTTGATTTCAGCTGTTACGCATGGAACAGCAATACACATTTGACGTGGCTGTAAAGTTTTGAGTATTACGACTGACCATGAGAAAGCTTCAGCTAGGGAGTCTGCCTTTGCATAGTGGTTCTTTGATTATCTCGCGGACATCAGGTACGTTTCCCGGACCATCCGACAGCTTAGCAACCGAACACAGTTAGGTTGAATTTTTGCCTAATATGAATAACTTCGTCGAGTGTTTTCAAAGGGGGGATCAGTTACCAGAGAACTTTCAGTTACATAAAGGGAATTAATTTTTTTGTGATTATTCCAGACCTTTCCATTAATATTTTGGGAGCTGCTTATCAGACAGCGAACTAAATATAGATTCAAATAGGTGACAATGCTCTACAGACGTTTTCTTTCTTTGAATACTGGGCCTACTGCCGTGAGCTGCTTAGGAGAACTTGACATTTGCTGGTGAGACAATACCCGTGCAGAGCGAATAAATTTTTTTGCAATCTGTCAGCATCCACTTCCAACTCTGCTAGAAGGGCAACCGCTATGCAAATCTTCTTTCCCACGAAATGACTTTGGTCAAAAAGGAGGACCATTATCCAGTGAAGATAGGGCTGGACACCTTTTTGTTACCCTAGTTTTAGATTGCGTGTCCCTTGTAAGCTGGGCAAAATGAACGTCTATTCTTCGATGCCGCAGTGCACTTCCATCCGTAGTCCTTGTTAATCTTGAAGCATTGATCCGCTTCGAAGAGAGTTTTTACTCTCTGGCTTCCACCGCAGCCCAATCCATTATAAGGAATGCAGCGATAGCTGTACATAGGTAAGGATCGTGCACCTCATGGAAAAGATGCCTGTTCCTTTATGCTCGGATTAAGTGGTGCTTGGATTATCACAGGAACCTTGGATTAAGCAAGAAATATACACAAGCTTTTGTTATTCTCGAAATTAAGACGGATGTTGGCTGTAGGACACTTTCATAGGGTTGCCACCTCACTGAGATTCCTCGAGGTGACATGCTGTAACTGATATGTACTGTGCAACCTCCTTGGCTGCTCGGCTGCTTAGCTCGTTCGACGAGAGGTGTGACCTTGATCCATCGATAACGAGGTGCATCAAAGCGGAATTACGAGATTCATGATAGGTTCCATGAAATTCTGCCGATTTCGCTCCCTTATATTTTTTATCTAATTATTTATACACCAATGAGCATTAAAAGCCTTCCAGTGAACGAAGGACATTGAAGTTTTAAGCGGGTCCAATGCAAGCAAAGAAGAGACTTCAGTATAGCAACCCGGAGGAGTACTATTCAAAACAAGTTCACCAGCGCTAAGTTTTAGAGACCACAAGCAAACAGCAAACAACGCTCTCACGGCGTTGATTGACTCTTTGACAAACTGATGGCCCTCTGGCATGAGTCGATGAACTCCTCAATTACTGTTTCTATTTCGCTAGAGCTGTTCTAACGATTCAGAAATATGTGAGTTCTAATTTGTGAGATCAAATGTAATCAGCTCATTAAATCATGACAATGTTTATTAGAGCGTTGAGCTGCTATTCTCATCTATTTCATTTCCTATCTCCAGAGATCTGGGAAGATCCTAGTGAAGTTTTGCGAACCAAGGGAGTACTATTTAGAGCAAGTTTACAAGCGCTAGGTTCTAGAATAAAAACAAGAGAAGATTTTGACAGCTTCTCAGCGACAACTGATTTATTGAGCTAGCTGGGCTTAATCCTCTCGGATGACTTTTTCAGAAGGTGAACAAGCAGCCACCAGCAGATGACTTAAAGTTGAACCATATTGGAGAAACGATGTAAACCACAGCGATTCCTATCAGCGGTGTAGAATAAATGGATGAGACAATAAATACAAAAGCAAAAAACATGAATGGGTATCAGCAGTGAGAGGAAGAGGGCGAAGGTTGATCACACAAAGTTCCCGTTCCCTCTCAAATGGGGTGAGTAATCGCAGTTATGGTAATGCAATGATTCATGTCTACCATTGAGCGTATATTTCTCTTGTGGTGACGGATTAAAAGAACATTCCAAAAGGAAACCACTGAATACTTGGTCGTGGAAAGTATAATTGCTTCTTTGACACAAGGAGAAAGGTGGCTGTACCAAAATAAAAGGACTCAGACACCAGTGATTCTCTACAAGGATCATTCTGCAATAGATACTGCTCGCCTACGATCGCAAAGCTGTCACATATGAGTCAGCAATGAACACATTCACACTGTTCCCGGCCACGGCCACGTTCCCTAGATTATTTACTTCGATTCCGCCTGACACTACAGGCAGCTAATCATTCAAGAATGCAAAAACAAATATATTGATCGCTACTCACTTGACAGAAAGTGCGAAAATGATCAGTGAAAAAAAGCAATAAAGTTCAGAAGCGATAAAGAAGAAATCGGAAGTTAACGCTTACAGCGCCCTACTAAGATTTTCGGGCACACTTTTACTGCAGCGTTATTTTTGGTATTATTATTTTGGTATTATTGTGAAGCCTGATACGCCTGGGCGAGTATTGATCAGAGATTCAATCCCCGCGCAATGCGTGTGTGATAGTGCATCGTGTGCTATTGCTCTGCTTCTGCCCTAAAGGATGATATTGAAACAAACAACCAATAAGTGAACATTAGCAGTGGGGGGATAGAAAGGTAGAGGTGAAGTAGTTTTAAATTGGGCACTATCAGGCATGCATTCCCTACGAAGCTAGTTGACTGAAATCTATTCGTCTGGGAGTCTTGATGTTGCTCATCGGCCAATCTCTATGAGTCATTGCACATATGAGTAATTCCATGGTCGTCTCATGTCACATCTAGCTTTTGTCATTCCAAAGAGGTCATGATTCAGAGGGTACTTCGAAGTAATGGTAATTCGAAAGGCGTCTGAAGCTTAGGTTGAAAATCGAAACAGTGTTTTCAATATCACTGAGCATTGCTTGTCAAAAGCGCTGAAACTACTGTTTGAAATTAACTAATTTACAAGCACACAAGTTGTTTCGCGAGAGGAAAAGTTTTGGTTGATCCAAGTTTCGTAGCCAACAGTCGCATCAGGAGTACTACAAACAATGGAAAATATCACCTAAAAAATGGGGTTTCAAAAATGCAATCAAAATGCAATCGATATCCGCCTAGGCCAGGCAAGCCTTTCGTCCCTCCGGGGTCGGTGAATTGGTACCAGACTCGTCTGGGTGGATAAAAGCACTGACTTATACTGTAATACATGAGCTGGCCACCGCAAGTCATTGTATAGGCCACTACGCATTCAATCCGCCTCTTCGATTCTGAATGAAAGTCAAATGCGGGGGCGCATCCTTCAGACGGGATTGATTAATGCCAAAAGGCTTTATCCTTATCCTTACTCAACAGTATGATGGCGCCCACCTCAGGCAATACTTTGCAGGTACATGTCGGTTCTCCAAAGGTTTGTTGGATCCGCCAGGGCTTTGTGGGGGGAATTCAGAAATATTATATTACCACAGATTACATTACAATGCGCAGAGCTTCGTCCCACCTATAAGTCAGTGTATTAGCATTTTACTTCTGGCAAGTATTGAGAACTCACAGTTTCCCAAATACTGAAAAGAAATGTGACACTGGAGAAAACCAGATCAAAGACTAGCAAATCTTGAAAAGAGATCGATTAGAAGGAATGTATCGAAACGACGGTTTGAACAACGCTATCGCTGACGCCGCAACGCAGTGAGAAAGAACAAAAACTGGTTGACGTGATCGATTTGAACGGTTGTTTGTCCGTTGATCGGGATGACTTACGTGTTTTTGAGGAATAGTAATTAGTGAACCGCGTCGCAAGCCTTTTGTACTGTAGCATTATACTGAAAAACCCCAATATGACTTCATTCTCCACAACTATAGGTAAATAGTAAGTAAGAACAAAATGCCCTCCGCTATTCGCTAGTCATCTTTTTTTTTGTTGCACCCGGCCATCACTTGTAGTTTTGGAGCGGTACATGCCAAACTATGAGTTTTTTGGCGGGTTCTGAGTTTTTTCGTAATGACAACCACTGACATCTTCATAGATGCCATGGGTAAATACTCGATGACTACTTTCTGTGCTGATGAACCCTACACCTGCGAATCCTAATTTTATGAAGAGTCAACCCTTTCAAAATTCTGAGTTTTTTTTTCTCAAAAGATTATGCGAATCAACCACCGTGAGGTTAGGATTCGCCTCCCCTGTTCGTAGTTCGGGTTTCGTAGTTCGGGTTTTAGATGGTTCCCATGAGAATTTTGTAAAAAAATTTTAGTCAGGAACTAATCAAAGGAAATCTCCTTTCAGACCTCTGTTAGGAGAACACAAATCTGTTCCTGGTTGGTGTTCTCTGTAAAGAAGAAGGTTACCATATCAGATATGTGTAAATATATAATGTGTAAAACCTGTGATGCAAGCGGAAACTGAAAAACGCGAGGCAAGGTTGGCACAGATTTGACTCCCATATAAAACCGCAAGCGCTGGGCTAATGGACACCAACAGTCGACATGGACCTCGAGTTTCAGCAGCGCTGCAAAGCCTACCTTTCGTAGCCTATTCGGCGGTCGCATTCTCGGTCGTGGCGATTCTTGGTGCTGCCACCACACTGCCAATGGTGTACAACTACGTGCACCATGTGCAACGCACTATGCACTCGGAGCTTAACTACTGCCGTGTAAGGTTTTTTTCACGTTTTTGTTCTCTGTCTCTAAGTACTTCTTATTATGCATTTTCAGACTTCCGCACGTGACATCTGGTCTGAGGTGAGCACTATGTAGGCTCCCTCCAATCGTACTGCCCGTCAGGCATACGGCAACGATTGCACTCGCTGCTGCTCCGGTGGAGCTGCTGGACCTGCCGGCCAGCCAGGAAACGCAGGAAGACAGCCACCAACACAGCCATGCCCACAATATACTCCTCCTCCATGCAGGCCCTGCCCAGCTGGGCCACCTGGACCACCAGGAGCCCCAGGATAGCCTGGTGATGCTGGACGTGACGGAAACCCAGGAGGACCCGGAGCTCCAGGAGGTCCAGGCACACCCGGACCCAAGGGACCACCAGGACCCAGCGGAAACCCCGGAAGCCCGGGAGCTCCAGGTCAGCCTGGAAACCCCGCAACCTCTGTCCCTGCCACTCCTGGAGCCCCAGGACCAGCTGGCCCTCCTGGACCACGTGGTCCACCCGGACCCAATGAACAGCCTGGAAACGTAGGAACACCAGGTAATTGTGTAATATCTTTCATATCTTTCCGTATTTTGTAACACGAAAATTCAGGACAGCCTGGACCCAAGGGACCTCCTGGACCCCCTGGACAGCCTGGACCAGATGGAAACCCTGGAACTCCAGGAGACAGAGGAACACCAGGAACACCTGGAGAACGCGGAATCTGTCCCAAATACTGTGCCCTCGATGGAGGTGTCTTCTTCGAGGATGGAACTCGCCGTTAAGATATTGGGATCGTTTATTAAAAATAAATTTCTTATTCTGCAATTCTTCCAATACAGCATGCAAGTACAAATGTACACCAATTGAATACATCCTTTTGGCATAGGAAATGTATAGTGATGGAGTACCAAAAGTTCAGCTTTTTGATGAGGACGATGATACCCAGAAGATACAGGTATGTTACCGATGGAAAGATCAATCAATAACCAATCACAGAATACCCTCACACACTGAGAGCCTTTTCCGGTGTTGCCTTTGATTTCTCCTCTTCCACATGGAGCTCCTAGATCCAACGTGATCAAGTGACGCGATGCCGCGTAAGCACCACAATGTTACATTCTGAGCTTCCATCCTAGTTGCCAAGGTAGCCAACCTCAAACAAACCGACTCATGCTGCTAAATTTCGCTCTGCCCGTTGCTTCCTTGGCCAGTGTTTTGCTTCCCGGAAGAAGACCAAAGGGCACAGGTACAACTTACTGTGAATTCCTAACCTGTGCAGTGATAAGAACCGTTATACGCTCGCCATCCATCCTTCCACGGTTCATCAACGCTCTTTACCAGCCTGATCTTTCGACCCGCCTCAGCTCAGATATTGTTTTGACCGTCGAAAAAATATTGCTAGTAAATATCCACTATCAGATACAAAGGTCATTTCCAAATCGCATGACATGTAATGCATCAGCTTCTCTGAAGCCATCTGCCACATTTGCTGCGTATCTCATCTTTACCAAGCCCGTATTAATTATCAACCTTATTCTCTCTCTAAATTATTGATGATTTATTGCATACCAGTGCTTGAAAAAAAGTGCAGAGTACCACATCTCCTCATAAATGATCAAAGGTGTCAGTGAAGGATCAGAGGCGTCACTGAAGAAAAAAAGGACTAGTGCGAAGTAAGTATTAGTAACAGGGTAAAAACCTGAGAAGAATTTCCTAGTATGGGGAAAGATAAGCCGGTGTGGGAGTTTTTTATGGCTGAACCATTCGAAAGAAATAGTGCTCCCCATGGCCTGTCGAGTTACCGGAACATGGAATAGTATTATAGTTGCGTCTATGAGATCAAATTCAGTTGCGTTTCATGATCGATCTCGTTTGAGCTGAGGAAAAATCATGAAGAATAAGAGTAGTTAAGAAAAGTGATCGAAAAATATGCTGTCACCGTTATTTGCCAAATTTCAGCTTATTAGAGTTAGCTTTACCTTGCGCAGCGTTTTTTTTGCGGTGAAGAGAATGCGAGTGAGGAGTTCCAGCGAAAAGGCTTGTTTTATGCGGTGAGGGAAATGCGAGTGAGGAGTTCCAGCAAAGTGGCGACCGAAGAGCAAGAAATGATCTATTATTTCACCACTTCACCATCGTCTGTATATAGATCGAATTCAGAATTCGAAAGGCAAAGTGTGCGATATTAAATGCGTGCAAGTAGAGAAATACACTATTGGGTGGGGAGTGGTGCTGAGGCGGAAGCATTCAGCATTATCGATAGCGCTTAATGTTGAAAAAGCGGTGGTCTCCCAAATACATTACCACCTCTGATTTTTGTACAGACCTACATACATAACACGATACACAGTTTTGAAGTCTCCACTTCACTCCACATTACACACTTCACTCCGCAGCACTCACTCTACTCCATTAAGCTGAGAGAGATGAATGTGGTCCATTCTTGAAATTCAACAAGTTGTTTGCAGGTGTTTTCATGACGTTAACCTTGTAGTCGCCTACGACGTCTTCTCTTAACTTCAACATAAGCTAGTTAGACAAAATTTTCTTCACCAGGTTCTTCAAGCTGCTTTTTTGAGCTGGGTGTGCAAGGTTCTTCTATAAACACTTCAGCATACCTTGTATTAGGTTGTAGGGAAAGTTCTGACCGTTTTGTCAGCTAACTTTCAAAAAGTTACTACTCATCTCAAAGTGAACATTTTTATTCATAATAAGCTCCATTCAATTCTACATATTTTTGCCAACGTGGTACAATTCTGTCTAACCCATTCTTGTGAAAGTCCGGAGATCTGGATTCCAAGAACTCGAGAAAGGCAGCTTCCACGTCGCCATGATTTTGGATACTCGATCCTCAAGAAGTTGCCCAGATGTTTGAATAAATGGTAGTCAATCAGTGACAGGTCTGGTGAGTACGGCGGATGAAGGAGAACTTCGATTCGCAGCTCGATCAACTCCTGGAAGACAATTTGTGACACATGTGGTGCATTGTCGTGCAAGAGCAGTTGACCGTGGCGACTGACTAGTGCTGGCTGCATTTGCCCCAGTTTCGTGTACATCTCGTGAATTTGATCACAATAGGACTGTGCGGTGATGGTTTGACTTGGAGGAAGAAACGCGTAGTGGATCAATCCACGGCTGGAGCACCAAACTGTGACCATTGTCTTCTTGACGTGTAACTTGGTTTGGGAAAGGTTTTTGGAATCTCATCCACACTTGCCCACTGAGGAGAACGTTTACTGTTACCATACAAATCCATTTATCATCACACGTTACAATACGATGGAGAAAAGGCTCAACGTCATTTCTTCTCAACAGCGAACTTGAAACCTCTAAGCTCTTCAATTGTCCCACGTGTCAAGCTTCTTCACTATTCCAAGCTGCTTGAATTGGGCAGCGACGACTGTGTGGAAGACACCCGTTATCTTGGCATTCTCTCTTAAAAGTTGATGTTGATCTCTTCTACTACTCTTAGCTCGCTCTTCGTCTTCCAGTGACTGGTCTCCACTTCTAAACTTTTGAAACCTGCGATGAACCGCTCGCTCCGATGCAGTGCCATCTCTTTATGCAAGTTGATGTTTGTGGCTGCCTCCTTCGCAGTTCGACCCGTTCGAAAAGCACTCTTATCCATTCTGTAAAAAAAACCTTCTAAGGATTCTGAAACCTCACAGAGTCCGAGGGAAGCGCTATGAGAGAAAGAGCAACTGTTGACTTCCTAAGAAGCACAGTACATATGTCAATTAGTTTGAATGGACAACCGCCAGAATTTGAATTCATATGGCGCGTGCGTGGGAACGGGCAGAACTTTCCTTACAACCTAATAGTAAAAATGCGTGGGGGAATACATAGACTCGGAAATATTACTATTTCAGAGTAATGCTGGAGTAGTGCTGCTACCTGATCATCAAACTGAACTAAGGTGCCTTGCGGCACCACAAGCACCTTCAGCGACTGATGACCTTCCGCACAACGAAATAAGATCTAAAAGAGCTGAAGATGAATGGCAACCGCCAGCCAACTCTGAACCCTGGATGCCTCGTAGATTTTTCGACAGCAGAAAACCACAAGACGAGAAGACAGTCCAAATGTTGTTCATTATAGACCCTCTGCAATGATATCAGTGTAGTATTCCGTTGTAAGATGATATAAATAATGAACTCAGTGTCCAAAAAATCGTTTCAGAGACAGTATGGAGAAGTACATCTTGTTAGAGTGCTTCATACGTGAGTGTTGACGGACGCTGCATTTGATGGTATTTAGAATACTGGTAATATCCATAGAAAGCTGTATCCAAGGGAGGACAGAAATAATCCAATTCGCCACACATTTAGGCCTTGCTTTTGTAACTTTGGCCGTTTTACCGGCTACTTCCTGTTGGATCCATTACATCATATTTCTTGCAGAAGATCGGACGACATTCATTCCTGCTCACACGCAGCCATGTCCGGACCTGCGCTGACACAAGCAGTAAGAGAAGACATCATGCAGAAGCCAATCCTTAGGGGCTGAGCAGAGGTTTTTATGGACTCTCTTGCAAAATAAGTCTAGCCAGACTAAAATGGGGAACTTTGGACCGTAGAAACGATCCGCCTTAGAAGAAGCTCCCAGAGAAACCACACCAAAGGGTCAGGAATCTCCCGAGAATGGGCCTGGAAGTGATTGGGTGGAAGCTTTGGCACCTGATTGAGCTTCAGGAGGAGGATGTTGTACATAAGCAGAACTCGAGTTCCGGAGAATCTTGCCGACAGCTTGTGAGTTCCCATGAATAAAGATCAGAATTGCTGCTGATATCGACCGCATAGTACTAAAGCTCTGGCAGAGACTGGAAGGGAATGTTGACCGGGAGTGAATTGATCGAGTTTCTCACCATCTCACGCAACACTGCACATGATCTCTAGTATATGATTTCCAAACTGGCAGTGCTATAACTCAATGAGTCGCACTCGTGTGGTGATGTTCGTTCCTCCAAGGGGAACCGCTCACCCTAAGGGCTGAGCTGATCGCGGGCATCGGATGCAAGCGACAGGCCAGCCTACCAACACCCATGTCACATAAAAATGTTAATGTCACTTTATAAATCTCGATGCAATGCTACGTCGTCCGCTGGAGCCGATGCGCACTCGCAAGGCCCGGTTAGTGTGAAAAGGAAGCCAGGGTCTCTGATGCAAGGACGACATCGGGAGTAACTAGGTAAGTCCAAAAGTCCCGCATGCTCACGGAAGACTCGCGTTGCGGCGCTAAATGTTGGTACATCAAGGGGACGCTCGTACAAATTAGAAGAAGCTCTGGAGTGTCAACGAAATGTTTTCTGTGCAGTGCAGGAAACGAGATGCGCTTGCTGCAAGTCGAGCAACAATGGCCATAGCTTCAAAGCCGTTCTCTGTGGTGGTCGCAAAACCACCGACTGGTGCATAGAAGTTTGAAGAATACCGTACATGTTCTGGAAGAGTGGAGCGAGGAATGCCGAAATAGTGCTACCTAATGCTGTTACCTAATCAAGAAAATACTTCAAAGAGTCCTGGCACCGCTTGCAGTTACCTAATGGAATGCCTTTCTGTAGAGTCTACACGTGATTACAAGAAAGGATCCTTAACCCGATGTTTCCCAGCAAGCAGCGGCTTCTCGAAACGGACGGGTCCCGCCATATGAAGGCGCCACACCATGTTTTATGGCAATGCCATGTGCTTTCTATGGCCGAAGACGATAGTCAGGTTGGTGGCAATGATAGACGGGGAGTAAAAATAGCGTCTTCATATATTTTCCTCATTGTAAATTTTGCAGTGATATC